TTTCATATTACTTGGTTCCACAGTCAACATCAATGGAAGCAGCAGTCAAGAAATCAGATGGGCAAATATGCTGCAAAAGACCTCTTTCAAGTGCTGAAGAGCTAAATTGTCTCCTTGAGGACTAAGGTGCATCTGACCCAAGCCATGGCATTTTCAATCACCTCATATGCATGTGAGAGCTGGACAATGAATAAGGAAGACCGAAGAAGAGTTGATGCTTTTGAGTTGTGGTGCTGGCGAAGAATGCTGAAAGTACCGTGGACTGCTAAAAGAACTAACAGATCTGTCCTGGAGGAAGTGCAGCCGAAATGCTCCTTGGAAGCAAGAATGGCCAGACTTCGTCTCACCTACTCTGGTCATGTTGTCAGAAGGGACCATTCCTGGAGAAGGATGCCATGCTTGGTAAGGTGGAGGGTCAGTGAAAGAGGGTAAGGCCCTCAATGAGATGGGCTGACACGGTGGCTGCAGTGATGGGCTCGGGTATGGCAGGGATTGTGAGGCTGGCACAGGCCACGTTCTGTTGTGCGTGGGGCCACTGTGAGTCGGAGCCAACGATGGTACCTAATGAGAACACAGAGTGCCTGTGGCTGTGGCTGCCAGGCCTGCCTTCTGAGGCTCCTCTGGTGTGTTTGAACCTCTTACTGTCTTGGTGACAGTCCCTCGTTCCTTCTGCAGCCCTGGCAGGAGTAGGGCCCTCGAAATGCTGGGAGGGAGTACATGAACCGGGTGGAGATGATTGCAGTGGGCCCCGCCTGGGCCAGGAGGGCTCCCTGGCAGAGGCGGCCCTGGGGGAGATGGGCAGCGCTCCACCAGGTGAACAGAGGCCCAGAGGCAGGAAGCAATGGCTTCTAACAGAAGAAGGCGGTCTGAGGTTCACAACATGAGTCGGGGAAGCTCAGGTCCAGGTGCAGACGGGCAGTTTGGGGGCACGGAGGAGGCTGAGCTAGGTGGGACGAGATGGGGCATTGGAGCCCACCTGGGGACACACGGAGGAAGCTGGAGGGTGCAGGGAGGCGGATGAGGCTTCGCAGGGCCAGGGAAGGAGCGGTGGGAGTGGACGCCGTGGCCCTGGGCCCTGGAGGGGGTCCAACACTGCGGGCCCCTCCCTCTAGGGCACTGTTGTGGGGGCTTTGCTGAGTCCTCATCCCTGCCACCTTCTCGGCTCTGTGTCTCCATCCTGTCCTGAGGCGGAGCCCTTAACCCTGCTACCACCCCCTTGCCTGCTCTGTGCCTCCTGAGGCTGGCTGACGCGCCCTGCCCCTGCCCCTACGCTGCCCCCAGCATGCAGCGACCACGACTGTCCTGAAGACAGGCCTCCCTTTCTCAGGCTGAGCCAGGGCAGTGATGTCAGACCAGCGGCCCTGTCTCCAGTGTCCCTGCTGTGTCTTGGGTCCCCTCTATGATCCCATGAAAGGCCCCTCTGGGGCCGTCCCCAGCAGGCACAGAGCTGTCTGGGGGAGGTGTCCCCTGCCCCAGCCCCCCCCCCAGGATGGACACAGGGCTCTCTCACTCCAGGCATGAGGACACGGGCAACGGGAGCCTTGCCCTGGAGCCCGGAGGGTGCCCCGGCTCGGAGACAAAGCCGCTTTTCAGGATGCTGGGCTGAGGCAGCCCAGATTTCTAGGTGGGCCTGCCAGGACTCAATGGGGCATTGGGCACGCCACCCCAGCCCCTGGCCCTGGGCTTCCCACCTGTACCAGGGAAGGTGGGCAGGGCCTAGTGTTCAAGTCCTGCTTCAGGAGTTGCCAGAGTGCTAGGGAGAGGGGCAGCTGGGCACGTGGGCCCTACCTTCTGGTCGTCCTGAGAGCCGCTGCTTGCCCTCTCTGGGGCTGGGGCTCCACAGAGATGTCACCCGTGCACCCCCCTGTAGCACGCACCCCGAGAGGCAGGCCTTCCGCTGTCCCAGCAGGGGTGCCCCAGTGCAGATTCATCCCGGGATCATGGCGGGGCTCAAGGAACAATATGTAAAACAAAGCTAATCCGTACCCGGAGGACCGCCCGCAGTTTCGTTATTCAGTGAGCCTAAGGCAGAAGCAGAAAGGGGTGCATCTTGGCAGCTCACTGGAGCCCAACCTGTTCCCTCCACCTCCACCTCCACCCCTGCCTTCAGGGCCGCTCCAGCTCGGAGTGCGTCAGAGCAGAACCATGCCCCATGGGGTTGTCCATGGCTGACATTTGGGGCGCAGATCACCATTCTTCTCAGGCATGTCGGGTGGACTCGCACCTCCAGCCTCTTGGGTAGCTAAGTGGACATAGCACAGGACATGCAGGCTTTCACGGCAGGTGCTTGGAGTTACACTAATCTCCCTCTGCAAAGCTGGGACGTAGGGTGTCTTAGTTGTTTAGCACTGGTGGTGCTGTGGTTAAGGCATTGGACTGCTAACCCAAAGGTAGGCAGTTTGAATCCACCAGCTGCTCTGTAAAGATTGACAGCCTTGTAAACCCCATGGGGGTCGCTGTGAGTCAGAATTGATCTGATGGCAGTGGGCTTGGGTCTTCGTGGGGCTATAACAGAAATACCACAAGTGTGTGGCTTTAATGAGCAGAAATGTATTCTCTCACAGTTGGGGGGCTAGCAGGCCCAATCTGGGGTGCTGGTTCTGGGGAGAGCACTCTCTGTCCGTCTGGGGGAGGCCCTTGCTCCTCAGCTCCTAGGTGATCTTCAGGCGAGGTGGTCTCTCTCTTCCCCCAACTGCTTCTTGCTTAGTTGGCTGGCCTGTTTCTCGGAAGAGGTGGACTCGAGATGTGCCCTACACCAGTCCTGCCTCACTGACACAGCACAGAGCGCCAGCCGTCACGCGGGATCCCAGCCACAGTACAGGGGTCTGGATGGGGACACACGCTCTGGGGACACAGTTCCATCCCGAACAGGGGCAAGACCAGTTACGTTTCAGGAGATGGCTTTCAGGGTTTGAGGAGCGGTCCTCGACGGGCACACTTTCCAAGAGAAGAGAGAGAACTTACAATGACACGTCTTCCAAAGTAAATTCTGAAATATTTCATTTGGCCATGACCTTACGCTGGTGGGGGTGGGGGTGTCGCCTCCCGATGGCTCTCCGAGAGACCCGAGTGAAGATCACCAGTAGGAGCCGTTTTCCTCCCACTGAGCTGACCAAGATGTCAAGGCTGAGCAAACGCCCACAGTGTCTACGGCCAGGACATGGGCCTGCTGCCTGCCGGGTGGAGGTGCACATGGGGAAGTGGCCAGAAAGCCTCAGAGCCCTGAATACGTGCTGAGACTTGGAGACATGACTCCTTCCTAGGAGGTGCTCAAAGGGCCAGAGAGAGGCAGTTGTGGTCCCCGTACAAGAAGGAAACCTGGAACCTGCCGAGAGAAGCCAATAGACACGTTCCCTCTGCCCACCAGGGGATGGGTTTCCCATTTATGGGAACGTGCTCAAGACATTTCAGCACAATTGGCTGGAGATGGACCCATATGTGCAGTAGGGTCCGCATTTCATTTCAAAGGCCCGCGTGTTCTGGGAGGCGCCGGACAGGGCAGGGGTCACAGGCGATTTCCCTGTTAGGACAGTGGTGGTAGGGTCCTCACCTTCCAGGTAGCAGACCCAGGTTCAGTTCCCAGCTGGGGACTCACACACACCACCCACCCGTCTGTTGCGGTGATGCTGACTGGGTTTCAGTGGGGCTTCTGGCCTACGCGGACGAGGGAGAGAGGCCTGGTCTGTACTTCAGATCCTGGGGACCTCAGCGTCTGATTTGCAGCCAGGCCCAGGTGTGCAGGACCGGGCGGTGTTCCATCCCCCCGTCTGTGGGGTCACCTTGAGTCTGCGGGGCCGACTCCCTGGTAGCTTACAACAATATGATTATTAATAAGGAACTTCTGCTACCTTTGTGATCATTGGGAACCAAAAACAAGTGTTTTACACACATACACACACATGCCAATCTCTCCATGGCTGCTCGAGCAGCTCCGTGTTGGTACAGATACTGAACAGCGGTAATAAATCACTTTCCAGAGGTTGGTGCATGGGGTGACCTAGAAGGCTCCCCAAGTACTTTCTGAGCCCCTACCCTGTGGCCCTGCTTGGAGGCATGGGAGTGTGAGTGGGTAGACACAGCCCCGCTTTCATGGAGGGTGCAGTCTTGCTGGGACAGGTGGTTGAGAGGAGAGTCCCCAAACCAAACACAGATGGCTGAGGCAGTTGGCAAAGGGGTGGATGGGGCCAGCCAGCCTCATTGATTTTATTCAGTTATCCGAGCTGCCTGATGAGGTAGGATATTTTCAGTCCATTTTTAGGTGGGCCAAATGGAGACTTGGGCAGGTTGAGGTTGACTTAGAAAAATAGCAGCATGCCAACAGATGGGACCATGAAGTACCTGGAAAGCATGTTGTGTTGATGGTGCTAGCTGTTGACTGGGTGACTGGGCAGAGCTGATGGGTGAAGAAGCAGGCACAGAAAGGCCCAGAGACCCCATAACCTAGAAAGTCTGAGTGAGTGGTTGGCTCAGGCCCACACCCACCCACCCACACCCTGGTCTGCTCCCTACACCCTACGGAACAGACCCCTCCACCTTGAAGTTTTTCTTCCTGGATCTCAGTGGAGAGCTCCCACCAAAGCCCTCACTCAGGCTGTTCCAGCCCCCTTAGCCACCACCGTCCAGCCTGTCCACATTCAAGGGGAGCCAGGTGGGCTCACACCGTCTGTATCTGCCAAGGCTGGTCACAGCCCAGGGGGGCCTTGCTCTCCTCTGCCCCTGAACGCAAAGTATTGTAAATGCGTCGTTCTCTAAGGACCGTTCTCTGGGCGCCCTGGGCTGGAAGAGCCGCTGCCTTGGGCCGCCTGTGTTGCCACCTGTCCAAGCACTTGGCCACCCTGGGAGGGTGCATTTGCCCCTGACTCTGTGCCCTTCCTCCTGGACTGTGAGCCAAGACTGTGATGTAGGTGTCTCCAAGGGATGCCCCTGACCCCACCACCCTCCACCCCAGCCCCGGCATCACAGGAACGCACTAATAACCATTCTGTCTGGGTCTGTCCTAGGTTCTTCCATCTGGCACCCTGCGTGCAGACAAGTGGCCAGGACTGACGACAAAGCCAAGGTGAGTGGTCTTACACATCTTCTCCAGGGTACTTGTCATGTTGGGGGCGGTCTTCAGACAATTGAGGGAAGTCTTGTCAGTTTCTGCAGCTCTTGCTCCGTCCCTGTGAGGCCCCACCCTTACCTCTCCGCCCCTGTGAGCCCCCACCCTTGCTTGGCCCCAGTGAGACTCCAGCCCTTGTCTGCCCCATGAAGCTACCCAGGCCAGTCTTTGGGCAGGGGCAGCTGGGGGCATATGGAAGTTGTCTTAGGCTGGGTTCTTTAGAGAAGCACAGTGACACATATATATGTAAATATACAGAGAGTTATTTCAAGGAACTGGCTCTCACAGGTGTGGGGGCTGGCAAGTCCCAAATCCATGGGTCAGGCATCAGCCGGGAGACGTCTCCTGACTCACAAACCCAACACCATCAGGTCAGACGGCAGGCTGCTGGCTCACGGGGCTTCTGGAGCTGGCAAATCCCCAAATTGGCAGCCAGGCAGCAGGCTGTTGGCTCACACCCAGGAACTGGAGGTCAGAGGGAGTCAGCGGGGTGTCCTCATCCCAGGCCTCACAGGACAGGAGGGGCCAAAACCAAAGCAGCAGACACTTGCTTAGCCGATTCTTACAAAATGGAACAGAAAATTCCCATTTTCTTTAGAAATTTATTTCCATGGATAAAAACAGTATTTTCCTATACTTACACATTGCACACATCCATGCATCCATCCATCCACCCACCCACCCATCCGTCCATCAATCTATCCGTCATCCATCCCTGGGGGAGCTGAGGGGTTGGGGGTAGCAGAAGGGCTGGGCTCCAGGGGCTGAGGGAGGGAAGGAGGGCCTGGGGGGATGTGCTCCCCAAAGTCCCCTTGATTCCCACCCCATGTTGTCTGACTTCCCACACCATTGCCCCTTCTTTAACCCCTGGAGCTGGTTTTTAAGCCAGAGGCCTGGAGCCCGGGCAGCCCATAGTGTCCCCAGCCCCATCTCCCTCAGCCAGGACCACACCTGAGGGAGTGTGATGGAGGGAAAAATGGGGACAGGTTCCCCTGAATGTGTCCTCCAACTCCAGGCCCAGCACCCCGGGCCATGGGAGGAGGTTGGTGACTCCACGCGTGTCCCGTGGTGGCTGCAGCGCCCTGGGCTGTGGGGGGAGGTTGGTGACTGTGTGTGTCCCGTGGTGGCTGAGCCACAGCAGCACAGACCTAGTGACTTAAAGCCGCACAGACATGCTGCCTTAGAGGTCACATGTCGGAGACGGGCAGTAGGGCCGGCCCTCCTTGCCTGCCCCTGGAGGCTGCCTGCACGCCTTGGCTCGTGGCCCCCTCCTCCCATCCCCCCAACGGGGGCCTCCCACCATCACATCTCCCTGTGGTGGTCAGCTCTGCCTCTGGATGGCAAACAGTTAAGTGCTCAGCTGGCTTGCGTCCACCCAGAGGCACCTCGGAAGAAAAGCCTGGCAATCTCCTTCTGGGAAGTCGGCCCCGGGCGCCCTGTGGAGCGTTGCTCTGCCCTCACAGACACGGGGTCACCAAGTCGGGGTCGACTCCACGGAGCTGGCTCGGTTGCTGGTTCGGGTGACCACGCTGGGCCCTCCCTGATAATCCAGGACTTAATCACACTTGCAGAGTCCCCTGGGCGGTGGACGGCCGCCTGTGTGCCCGTTGCAGGAGCAGGGACGGTCCACCGGGGGCACCGTGCCTCTGCCGAGCACAGTTAGGAAACACTGCAGTGTTGAGGCCTGGCTGTGGCTCAGTGGCCCGGCTTGCGGTGAGTGGCAGGCACCTTGTCAGTAGCTGTCGTCCTCAAACGGCTGCATGTCCCCAGAGTCGCTCCACAGTCACTGTGGCCTCCAGGGCCTCGGGGATGAGCAGCGTCTTCAGGCCCTGCCCTACGATGTGACCGAGGGGCCCTGGAGCTGTTTGTCCGTGGACCCCTATTCTGCACCTGAGAAATGGCAGCGTCTACAAGGAGCCAGTGACTGAGCTGCGTGGCGAGGGGCCCCCAGACCCCACAGGGACCTGCGGGCGGGGTGGCGCCCTGCTGCTTCGAGCCTGACTGGGGTGGAATGAGGACCCTGGGGCCACATCAGGTCCCCCAGAGCAGGGAGGGAAGCCTTCGCCAGCTCCGGGTGTGGCCCCAAGGGGGCCCACAGGCACCCTGTCTGCCCAGCCCCACGGTCCCCAGGTCACAGCCGGCAGCAGGCAGGGCTGGGTGCGGCGGGCGGGGAGGGAGGCGCCCTGGTCCTGCGGGTCACTGAACAGGATTGTTTGAGAGCAGGGAGGTAGCACCAGGAGATGCTGAACCTGTGTGCGGTTGGCCAGGCAGGTGGGCAGCTTGGCCCTCGGCCCCTAGCTGCGAAGGGGCTTCCCTACACCACCTCACGCTCCCAGCAGAGACCACTGTTTGGACGGGAGAGTTTGCCGGCGTGGGGCCCGGCCGGCCGGCCGGGGGAGAACAGCGGCCCCTCGGGTGGGGTCTGGGGGGCTGCATGTGGGCATGGGCGGTGGGCCCTGTGGTCCTGGCCCCTTTGGAGGTAACTCTGCAGGACCTGACGTCACAGGGAACTGCCCCTTGCCCCTGCCGCCTGTCACCTGTGCGTGGT